AAGGAAGGAAGGAAGGAAGGAAGGAAGGAAGGAAGGAAGGAAGGAAGGAAGGAAGGAAGGAAACAGTCTCTTCACTGTCATTTGATATCAGCTAACAACCCATAGTAAGGGCATATAATTGGTTAGATTGAGTGTAATTTATCTTAATTACAATCATTATGCAATGCTTCGTGTTTCTTGATGACTGCAAAGTATAAGGTTGTCCAATGAGTGTAAGAAGAGTTAGCAGAAGCATGATGGATGGAGCCCAGATCCCTCCCACATCAGTTTGCCTGCTGACTATGTTTTTGAGATTGTGCATTTGGCTTCATTAAGGAAGCAGCCATATACAGATACAGATGTATGCTTATCAGGCTCCTCTGCCCAGTCAGGCACCACTGACCAAAATTCCCCATCAGATAAAAGAACGTACTCGTGTTTCCTTTTCACTAATGTTCCAAAGATGCTTAGTCAAATGTGAGTATGTACAAGTCTCAGTACCTAGTGCCTGAGAAGCTAAAGCCTTACAATGGAGCCTACCCATAGAGAGCTGATGGTTATGAGGCCAACACACAAACACCGTTGCTAAGTCCCCTCATTCGTATTTAGGATTCAAAGGTAGTTTGGGTTTACAGGTTTTAAATATAATATGACTTAACCCCAAAATTAAAACAAGCAAACAAACAAACAAACAGATAAGTAATACCAGCATCCTTTAGTTGAAAGAATCTAGCTCAGTTATACATCAGAATGACATGAACTTGGCACCTTAAACAACTTTCACAGGGGGATATTATGCTCCCAATTCTTAAATATATGCCATGGACAGATTGTCATATGCATATCACCATGCCAAAGCTCTTTGAAATTATTCAGTATAATCTGTTAATAATCAAGGGACGTCTGGTAAAGAATTAGTTTTTCTTTTTTTGTTAGGAAACATCCATTCATCTCTTTTGAAGTACAGAATAGAATTGCCGACGTAAAGATAAAATTAGTGAATCCATTTTTGAATAGTATCTAGGGAACATCGAGGCAGATAAACTTAGGAGACAGGAGGAAGAGCTGCAGACCAGACAACTGGCAGGCAAAGATGTCTCAGCCTATAGAAAGTGGGGTGGGGTGGGAAAGATTTCAGAAGGGCCCCAGCCTGGTAAAAGGAAAGAGGAGAAATGCATTCAGCATCACAAGATTCTATTAATGGAACCTTACAATAAAAAAATAGAGTTTGTACTCTTGGTTGTGCTTCTTTTCTGGACTACTTCACAGGGTAACACATGATTTTAAAAAAACTGGTAGCATTTAAAAAATGATTTCAAAAATCTATTCTTTTTTTTTAAAAAAAAGAATTAAACATTCACACTTTATTTGGAACACTTGTCTCCATTTTTTTTCCACGTAGACCCTATCAGCACTTACAGAACACACAGCAAAAAAGGGGGGGGGCTTCTCAGCGAAGGTAGATATCCAACAGTTCAATGCAAATACAAGCAACCAGGGGGTGGGGTGGGGTTCGCAGGGGTTCGGGAGACCCTCTAGTTAATATTCTGCCCAGTTTGGAGAACTCCCAAACCCTTCTCCTGGCTGGCTTTGCCCATCCTGCCCCTCCCCTCCCAGGAATCCCCATGCAGCCCATTTTGGATGCAGGTAAGTGCAGGGCATGTGCAGAGGCTTGGGGAGGGCAAAAAACGGGCCTCCTGGAAGTTCGAGAAGCCCATTTCCAGCTTCCAGAGAGCCTCCAGAGCCCGATGAGGCCGCTTTCCACCCTCCCGGAGGCTTGAGGAAAACCTCCAGAGACCGGAGAGGGCAAAAATGCCACCCCCACTGTGATGCAGGAGGCTGACTAGGCCACGCCCACCCTGGCCACGCCCACCCAGCAACCGGGCAGAGAACCAGTTTGTAAAATTTTTGAAGCCCACTCTTGCAAGTCACCATTGCTATTCTCAAGGATTTCATTCCAGTATAAAACTATGGATCATGAAACCGTGAAAAACAAAACTTCCGTTGCCAAAAAACCCTGCCAACTTTACTGCTGTGGCCATTAGACCCTAAAAAAAATATGTGTGTGTGGTTATCAAAAGGCCAGTTATAACACTGCAGTCTAAAAACCCTTTAATAATAATAGGAAAATATGGCATATAGTGCAGTAAGTTCCACTTATAGATTCACTTGTAAGTAAGTATTTATAGTGGAATCCATTATGAGGTAAATGTAAAGGTATAATTCAACATTCAAAAGGAAGGCCTATTTTTATACCCAGTAATAAAGTATGACACAGAGATACACACAGACACAGATACATACAGACACCCACATGAGGCATTCTTGTACAAAGGACAGATTTTACACAACTATTCATAAAAAACAAAGAACTGTTATAGAGTAGTATAAACTTGATATATACCTTTAACCCTTTAATTTATTTTCCCACAAGAATCTCTACATAAATATACCTATTATTTATACACACACACACACACACACACACACACACACACACACAAAGAAATAAAATTTATTGACATTCATTGTATTGCTTTCAGTAAGTACCCAGAGAATTACAACCATATGGTTAGTTATTCAGCTTCGGGAAACATATGGTGTCTTTATATTATCCATCAGCTATCCATCAGTAAAGTGATATGTTTGGCCAGTGACAAAGTCCATAGATAACGTGTTTGGGAGGTCGTTATTTGTAATGTGAAAGAGCTTTTAAATATGTATTGAGCTAAAGAAATGGAAAAAGACAAAATGAGCATGTGTGTGTTTACTTTATTAATGATACTGGCTAGCAAAAAAACATGACAGAGAATTTCATTTGCCATCTCTGACAAGTGAGAGACTGAGATAGATTTAGAAACTGAACAGGTCTTTCAGAATTTATTACTGTACCAACTTATAAGCAGACTCATACATTGCTTACTAATGCCTATTTGATTTCTTTAGAAATATTTGATCATATAATTAACCATTCTAGAAAGAATTTCAGTATAAGCACCTACATGAAAAACAAAGAACTGCCCAACTTTCAGAACACTGAAGCAAACTTCACTACAAAATTGTAGATAAGCATATTAGCAAATCAACCACTGGATCCTGCTCATTATCTTGCTGCTTCCTCACTATTCCCATTGCCATTTGTTCATTTTTGCATCTTCTCTTTCGCCAAAATGGAATCGGTAATCTAGCGTCTACAAGGTGCTTTAAATTTTAACTTTTATCAAGTTTATCCAGCATAGTCAATGTGAAGGAACTATGGGAGTTGTAGTTCAGTAACTTTCTACCTCTGCTATGTTTTATGGCTCAGCTCCCTTCAACCATTCAGCCCAATTCAATGGGATTCTGACAGTATGAACATTTTCATTCTCTATCAGTTGCATCTGAATGCAATTTATTTTAAATGGTAGAGCACTTGATTATTTTCCTCACAGATAATTACTATTACAGCTTGATATCCCACCAACATGTATAAGACAAAATACAACATAGTGGGTTGCAGTTGTGAAATTTTAGTGTAAAAGTAAAAAGCCAGTCTTTCCTTGGCATCAAACCCCAAACAATGTTATAGTTGGGGAAACAGTTTTCCAAAGCTGTAGAGAGGAAGATAACCTTGATAGAAATAGATGAACTCTGTTACCAAGATGACGAGGGGAAAACCATATATTAAGCCCACAAAATAACTTTCTCACATGGTTCAAAAGACATCTCATTAATACACAAGAGTATGAGAAAGGGAAGGAGATAATAGCACAACTAGATTTATAAGGTGACATTATCACAGCCAATCTTAATAATAATAGCTTTAGTCTTTTAAGGAGTTGATTTCTTAGCCTGGTCTACATAGTTGGGCTGACAGAAATCATGACAAAGAAGGCCATCTAGAGCAGCGGTCCATGGTCCGCAGAAAAATTATCTGCATTTTTTATATTACACTAAATACTATTTATCTTTTTTAAAAATTCATATTGGGGTCCACAGGATTTAAAATTATGAATGTAGTGGTCCCTGAGGTCCAAAAGGTTGGCGACTCATGTCCTAGAGCTTTCTCTCACAATGCCCCTTTCTTAGCTAGGGTGCTGAGGATGCCCTGTCCTGAATATCTTGATGTATGTATTGGGGAAAGCCCTCTTTCAAGTATCAAGGGCCTCTGAAATGTCATTTCTAAAATCTTAAAAACCCAACCGTTAGCATACATATAGGCAGCCAGGACAGATCCTATATGGTAGGGGGTCCCCAATCCCAGGCCCATGGACAGGACCGGTCTGCAGCATGCCAGAAACCAGGCCACACAAATAAGTGAAGCCCCATCCATATGATGCAGGCAGCACACAAAACCATGCCCCCTCTCGTCCATAGAAAAACCTCTCCCCACGGAACCGGTCCCTGGGGCCCAAAAGGTTGGGGGCCATTGCTATATGGTATCCGATAAAAGTTATCCCTGCAGTACTTCACAGCATTCTACACTATCTGTAGCATCTAGATTATTTTCAGAGGAAACCCATGCAACCACATAATTTAACCACAAACTAGTCCGATTTTTAGCATTAAGACTAAGATAAAGACTAAGCTAGCATAAACTTAGTTCTACTAAATGAGTTGGTTATTTCATTTAATTCAAAGAGAATTAAGTATAATTAATTTAGGGTTAGGTGAACATTTTATATGATTCAGAATGGTTTTATTGAAGTTTTTACGTTGCAGAATATCTGAGTTGTTGAAATTTTATGGCTTACCCCACTCCTATGAAGAGGGGGGTACAGTAGCTCTTATCTGAAAAGGAGAATTTTGGCCTAACAGACATTTCTCTAAATAAATAAATAAAACCAACCCCCATCCTACCATATCTATTAGTTACTGCTTTAAAGCTAACATTCATGAAATAAATTTTCTTTTTGGAAAACATCAGGTTACCCTTCTTTGAAACTTGTAATGATTTCCTTTATAGGAAAAAAAACAGTATAGGAACAGTATATAATGCAACTTCCAAAATTAATAAGTATGATAATAACAAAAGGGGAGAGGAGTCCATATCATAGAAAGCCTTCTTCTATGTCCCATTTATTTTAAAATCTAATTAAAGTATTGACAAACAACAGATATCAATGTGATCTTGATGGTCTTGACAAGTTCATCAACAAGATATTCATGAACAGGGCGTCAAACCTGAGCAAGAAATAGCAATTTTCTCTTCCTCCTGGGCATTTCCTCCCTAATTCTCATAGCAGAAACTCTCAAATAATATCCGTAATAATTAATGGAGAAAATCTTACTTACGAGTATTGTGTTAGAAGTTCCAAGTTATTATGCATGTTGATTGGATATGTTTCTCTGAGATGATAGAGCTTTTCTAAGGCCTCATAAATGAATATGATGCAGATGAGAGATGCAAAAGCTTCTTCCGTAAACCGAGTGATATAGCACACCAAAGAACTTGCATCAGTCGCAACAAGAATGATACACAGAATTGCAGTCCATAAACCAATGCTCGCTCTCAGAGAAAGGTAAGATAGTCCGTATTCCCTATTAATAGATTTAAAAAATATTACTGCGGTGGTCAAATACACTTGGGAATTCCATGTGGTCTCTACACAATTAATTATTCTTCAAAAGAGCTTTTGGGGAAAGCATTGCAAAGGCTATAACTACTTATTGTCTTTTGCCAATGCTAAGCCATAAAACATATTTCAGTAATATGGCTGGTTTTTCTGGCTTCTAGTTGGGGAATTACCTTGAAGGCAAACTCCTAGATTTGCTTGCAAATCTTAAAAAATAAAAAGGCTTCCATTCTGCTCTTGAAGAGTCCAGGATTTTACTACTGGATTTTATTCTCTTGTTTTTATCTTTGGTTTTATTTTAAATTCTGATAGATGTTATATTGTTGACATATTCTGCAAATAGGAGGGGAGCTACATATGTGAGTCAACAAATACATAAATACAATGATATGTTATGTTGTGATTCAAGGTCTTGTACTTCGCAGGTTCACCTCACCCAGGAGAAACACCTGGAATCCATTTTAAAGAACAATGATATCCAAATATACAAACTAAAACAAATACTTAATTAGGCATAGTTCCATATATAGAAGAGTTCGGGCATAAAATATCAATGTAGGCAAATAACTCTAGGGGCCACTCTACATTGGCCAGGGAATATAACTTTTTAAGGATAGCAATAGCACGAAGACTATACTGCTTATATAGTGCTTTACTTCCCTCTCTAAGCAGTTTACAGAATCAGCATATTTCCTCCAATAATCTGGGTCCTCATTTTACTGACCTCGGAAGGATGGAAATCTGAATCAATCTTGAACCAGCCAGGATTGAAGGAATTGAATGCCTGGCGATGTGAGCAGAGTTAGCCTACAATCCTGCATTCTAACCGCTGTGCCACCACAGTTCAAGGATGCTGCCATCTTGTTTTTTCCCTTGTCTGTCCAAACTGCAGTACTTTGGCCTTAAATTAACCACTCTTAATGCTATTTCATTGATAGAAGCTCAAAGACACTCAGGAATTTTTAAGATGGTACTTAAAAATCCCATCATCCTTGATCACTTGAGCTATGGGCAAGTCTCATGGCTCTACTCCACTGCTAATACCAATCAATAGTAGTCTTTTAAAAATGAGGTTAAACATATCGAAAGACATAGCACAACTTTTTTGAGTCTTTCTACGAGGCTTGTTCAATTGAAGGTAGAAATGGTAAAACTCAAAAAGGAGGAACACAGAGCACTTACTTGCAAAATTTGAATAATATCTTTTCAAACACCAAAACTGGTCCTGTGCTACCCAATATGGTAAGAGGTTGCCCACCAAACAATGAGTAAGCTATGCCAGTCATCGATGCACCAAACAGAGATTCTATTGCACTCTGTGTATAAAAAAAAAAGCAAAATTGAAAAGTTACAGCTGTGACTTGGGAACCGATCCTTAGAAAATGCCACCCAGAACATTTTATTTATTGGGATAGGGATAGGGACAAATAGATAGAGTAAGGCTAAAAATCCAATTGCAACACATACTATACGACCGTCTGTTGCTTCTCCCAGCAAGCCGCCAAATGTGATAACAGGAGACATACAAGCACAATAGAGAAATAGAAAAGATGCTAGACACTGCAAGCTGAATGCATCGGTGAAGTCACTCAAAAAGAATGGCACTTTCCTCTTGATATCTAAAACCAAGCCCCCAAAGAGCCTAAAGAGAGTGAAAAAGAATGAATGTTACTAAAATGTGATGGTGATTATCGTTATTATTTTGCATTAAGCAGAAACTTATAAGTTACACTAACATTTAATGTGCTATTTAAAATAAGGTATGAAATTGCCAAGAAGTTTCCAGATCACTATCTTCTCGTTTCTACCCTGATGCTTAACCATTACATGAAACTGGTTCTCTAACATCAGCATTAGATACTGAAAAATCCTTTTTGGCAATAGGTTACTGCAGTGGTGGGATTCACATTTTTTTTACTCCCGATTCTGTGGGCATGGCTTGGTGGGCGTGGCAGGGGAAGGATACTGTAAAATCTCCAGTCAGAAGTGGTATTTGCCAGTTCTCTGAACTACTCAATATTTCTACTACTGGTTCTCCAGAACTGGTCAGAACCTGCTGAATACCACCTCTGGGTTACTGCCACTGAGATATTAGAGAAAGCAGAACTGTGGCCACTTCCTTTTGGCAGCAAACCTGACAAGAGGACTTCCTGTTCATATACAAACACAGCCCAATGGCATGCAGAGATCTTCAAAGTTGCTGCTAGGCCCAAAAGAGAATATGCTGAACTGATGCTTCAAGCAGAAAATTCAGTGGCTTTGCTTAAGAGAAAGCCAAAATGGTCAGCTTCATGTTTTCAGCATTAGCTGAGATGAACAATTTCCTATGAACTTAAAATCATTGGAACATTGTTATAACAATATTATATAATGTTTCAACTATCTCTATTCCTATGTATACTTCCTAGTAAGCATCCACAGGATGACAGCTATGATTTGAATGTTTCTTAACTTGTTAAAAATGTATGTACATACTGAATTTCAGTATTTTACAATTGAACAAAGTTTGAACAATGATAACAACTTTCTAAAGTGAAAAGGTCAGTATTTTTTTAAAAAATTATACTGGTTTTTCCTTAACAACATAAGACAGCTACAGTATAATCTGCCTAACAGTATTTGAAACAATGCAAGCAAAATTATACATTTAATACAGAAAGTTAACCTTCCTTCCTTCCTTCATTAAATGGACTGGGTTTCTCCATACAAAAGACCTATACCTGCACTTTACAAGGAAATATGGAATTGGAATTTGCCATTTAAAGCATAGAGGCTGTCATGACTTTGTTTATTGCATGGCTATTTTTAATGTGTTAGATGATATGCATACCAATTTATTAACTGTTTGCAAGGGATAGATATATTTGCAGGCGAACCCAATCCATTTTAATAAAGGAAGTACATTTACATAAGTATTGGTTTTAAATAAATGGGACACCCTTTTCATTGTAACCATCATTTATATATAATGATGAGGTATTATATTTATCATAACACTTATTTACCTTCAGGTAGGTGCCAGATTATATTTTTTTTAAAGATCCTTACATGTCTTTGTATGTGTGTTTATGGGTGAACATTTACATATGTATGGATAATATGAAAATACAATTTTAGTACTAACTTTCCAGTACGTTGTAATTCTGGCCCCGAATGTCCTCCAAGTGGCTCTGGGTCTCCATGAGCAGCAGTTCCATTTGGTACACCTGGAATTTTACGTTTCTCCTAAATGAAAAAAAATGGATGTGTCTGTTTTGAATTTGTTTTCCATTCCAAACTGTGGACTGAAAAGAAACTGTCAGGGTAAGTTAGAAATATCATGTCTAGCTTCCTTTGGTGGGCACCTTTCACAAATGAAAGTCACCGAATTAACTTATTTAACAGGACTTCTAGCATCTGGAGATGCCAAGCACAATCTGAGAGGAGCGTCTGGAAAAGTGCAACAATAAGAGCCTTCTCATCAGTTAATAACATCCTGCGAGGCTTCAGCACTAGAGATTAAAAACTATTCAGCTATCTTTCTCTTGTAGGTTTGTGGGATGCCTTGTCCACCACATCTGTTCCATTGCTGAGACTTTCAAGTACGATGAAATCCAAGTCAAGAGAAAGAGTATATTCCTGCTGGCTTATTATTACGGCACAAGGACATATTACTGCCACATGTGTGCTACTATCATACCTCCTTCTTGACTCTCTTTCTATATCTACCTGGTAAAATTTATTTATAATAAAAAAAAATACAATGACAAAATCATGCTCAGACTTTCACTGACTCATACAAGCTGAAGAATGGAATGGAATGGAATGGAATGGAATGGAATGGAATGGAATGGAATGGAATGGAGTAGAATAGAATAGAATAGAATAGAATAGAATAGAATAGAATAGAATAGAATAGAATAGAATAGAATAGAATAGAATAGAATAGAATAGAATAGAATAGAATAGAATCTTTATGAATTTAGTCAAGCAATGTTGATGGTAATATATCTCTGAAAAATCATGGAAAAAATATTTGAGATGCCAATGATCTATAGGAGAGGTAAACATTGTAGAGCACTGATGATATCTTATGTAATTGTATCACAACTGGAAGAAATGGGGAATATAAATGTAAAAGACAGAAATGTAAAAATGTAAAAAATGTAAAACAGAAATGTAAAACAGAAATACCTGAGAAGGAACATTTTTGGGAGGTTCTATACGAATGGTTGGGTCCCATTCTCCTGGTGGGAGAACTGTCACTTGATCAAGAAACTCATCAATTCCAGCGAGTAAGTCACTGCGGTCCTTAGCTTTATATGCAACATCATGAAATACCTATGAAAGAAAGAAGGAACTCCATGAAATTTTCTTTCTAAGGGCGGGAAAATCCAAACACATCTAATCAACAAATTATAAAAATAATTTTCCTGCTCATTTTCTGTATTGTTCACTGTGATTCAAAACATTGAATTAAGAAACTGCTAGTTATTTTAGAAGAGCATGGTGATACAATAAATCTTCATACAAAGCACTTTAAAATAGGTAACTTTTCAATAGGCTTAATCAATCCCTGTGAATGGATAAGTACCTCATCCGTCATTAATGTTCCAATTGACCTGCCAATCTCATGGTACTGTTGACCTTTTCCTAAGGGTCCCAGAAGAATAAATAAAAATCTATGAAAAATGGAACACAAAAATATTCAGTTAATTTTACATAATTCTAGTATCCAAACAAATACAAGTTAGAAAAAACTTAGTCTTAGTTTTAACCACTCTTGAACTTGTATTTTATAAGTTGGGCAATAATTTCTTTTAAACATTGATATACCAATTTTAAAAAAACCCCAAGAATATGTTATTTTTTAAGAAAATTATAAACACTTTCCCTGGTGATGGGGTAATTGGAATTATTTCCTTCTCACCTAGCAAGTTTTGGACTCATGTATTTCTCAAAACTAAACAGAATTATACGCATACAAATAGTTTCCTAATGTATTATTAAACAGTAACTCTACCAAAACCTAATGTTACACAAAATGAAGTGAGAATCATTTCTATTTGGGCAGCTGTCTTACCATTTTTTAGAATAGCTAAATGCTTATTATATTCTATTTAGGCTCATGAACTTCTTCCCAGCTTTCTATAAACATTGATTCCCTGTTAATCATGAATACAAAACTCATTTTTCTCTCAAATTTAAATGGAATTTTTCAAACTCTCATAGAATTTTCACATATGGATTTAAATTTTTAAAAGGAAAAAGAGAAAGAGGATAGTCTATGAAATTTAGACCTTCTGTCTTTATTGCAGGACATTAAATAACCCTAACCCTACCTTATATAATGTTTGAGGCAACTTAACCTTCGAAGTAAAATTGTGCATACATCATACAGTACTCAATGACATTGGTTTTCAATTACTTCTTATCTCATGGATGGATGGAACACATTTTGGCTACAGCTGTTGTAAGTATAGCATATTGCTATTGCTCTATTTGGGGGGTAAGGTGGTCTTCACAAATGATGCTCTGTAGAAATATATAATCCTTAATATTATTCAGAGCAGTCTTCCTTATTCCCTGGCTGGCCCTTATTCTTTTTATCTGTGAGCTGCAGAATTTAAATCAAGCTGGAATAATTACATTTCTTTCTTATAACAGTTATAAATTACCTTGATGGGATTGGAACTTCTGTCAATCCTGAAAGCAACATAGCAGGAGACAATCTAACAAAAGCGACTACAGCACGGTCCAAGAATTCAAGCTCACCAACCAAAATGTTTGAAGCTTCGGCTCCAGGAGGGATTTTTTTCATGAAATGCAGGTCAACCTGATCATTAAAAAAAAGCCATACAAGAAAAAGAAGGATGGGAGGGGGAATGAGAGAACCTAACAGATGTGAAGATTTCTAGCATTTCATTTCACTGACACATTGATACATCATGGATCACTAACCACAGAATAAGTTAGCATAAACATGTATTAGTGCAGGTACAAACTCTGATAAATTAATTGGAGTTATCAATCAATAAAAACTTTAATTATAGGTTTATAAGACCTGGCAGTTAATTGAACAATTAATGCTCATATTTGTGTTCTAAATATAATCTACTGTCTGCAAATGTTATTTTAGTTATACTGATACCTTATAAAAGGCTAATGTTTTTGGTATTGTGAAAAGTCTATTTAGGGATGCTGATTCTACAGCTCCTGAAAGGGCAGCTTGAGAATGTGAATTCCGATCCAACTAATCTTCAACCAATGAGTTAATGAATTTGTTCAACATGATTCATTCCAATAGGACCAAGTTTTGATCATTTAAAAAAAAATTAGAATCATTCATGCTTGCTGACAAAAGTAGCACTTTTATTTTTACTTCCATTTAAAAGTTTAAGTAAATTCATGAATAAAAATGAGATTGTGGTTTTGCTTTACAAAATTCACAATGTTTTTATTATTGCTAAAGAAAAATAGCACATTTTATTATATGGAAGATGCTTCAATGTGGCAGTTCTGCGATGACCAAGAATGAGCCAAGTGGCTCACACTGTAACCTCGTCATTCATTTCCATGGGAATCAAGAAAGATACACTCAGTGTCCCCACCTACTGCTCACAGGGCCACAATTATTGCTCCATGATTATCATGGCTGTGCCCAGGCCTCAACAGCGATTCCTGTTGTCTGTAAAATGCAACACGACTGGCAATTGCTGCTCTACATAAAATACCCAATGAAGTTTTCCATTTACAGAATAAGGCATTAGATTAGTGTTTCTAGACAACTTCCATGGATTTCCACTCCACATAATTTTTATCAATGACATGTGGCTGGGGAATTCTGGGAGTCGGAGTTGTCAAGGTTGGGAAACACTCCTGTTAAGAGCCGATGGCTCAACACAGAGCTTGCTCAGGTGCTCCTTGTCACAAAACCAACAATACTGTTAAAAGTTCAACACATCATACTTGCATTGTTAAACTTTAATACTTTAAATTGTGCTTGCTGCTACTGTAACAAAACATTTTTCATTACGTTACCTACAATGCCTCATTCTGAGGGGAAAAAAATTCCTCAGTAGGATGCCTAAGCATGGGGGGGGGGAGGGAAATCCACTGGAAGCCTTCACTGCTTTATTATGTTACGCTGTTAGGATTAAGCATAATGGATCTCTCATTAGATTATGTTGGCCAAGGTACTTGCAAAGATGGTAAGCAACCAGTTGAAAGACTTCTAATCTTTCTCTCTCCAGAAACCATTATTTTGGAATCAAGGTTGTAATAGCTTTCTGAGAAAACAAGGATTTGTAAACAGAAAGAAAGAAAGAGAACAGTTACCTACTAATTGCACTGAACTTCCTGTTGCCCCAAAATCCAATGTGAGAAAACTTGGGAGCATTATTTAATGCAAGAACAATAAACCAGAAAAGCAATTCCATAACTCTGTGGGCTGGGGTTGAAAGGGGTCATGTTAGCTTTTTGAGAAAGTAAGGAGGAATTCTATACATGCAAAGAGAGTGCAGCCTTACAGTAAAGCAATTTGTTACTAACTGTATTCAAATTCCTGCTGTGCCAAAGATTAACTAAATAATACCACGGAGAGAAATAAAAAGAAAGGTTCAGCTAATGCTGGGAATGTCAAAACAGGTATTGTGCTTAGGCAAATACAAAAATAAGGAATCAATAGGATTATAGCAAAAGCTCTCTCTCTCTTCCTGGTCCTTCCTTTATGTGGGCATAGTTATGATACAGCCTGTGTACTCACTTGATACAGTGATTTTATTGTAGTCCACAATCATGAAAATAACATTCTACAACCACAAAATCTTTTTTTTTAAAATCCTGTGCTTAAACTAGAATTTCTCTCAAATTATTAGAAATTATTGTAACATATGCAATGATACTATAATTATATAATTTATTATTATTGTTGTTGTTGTTGTTATTAGCCCCAAATGACTGAGGATATTATAAGTAGCCTTGATAAATCAAATAAAACATTAAATGGGCTAAATCTCAGAAAACTGCCAAATCTTACAAATTTTGGCGCTTTTGCTTCAAAATCTTACAAGATTTTACTGTCCTTTTTCCCATATCACACAAGATTTCAGGGTGAAACACCATCTGTGATCATGCACAATCTTTCCAACAAGCTTTTAGGGTGATCTTTGAAACCGACAATGCAAAGATCCACATGAAGAAATGGTTCCGATTTGCTATTCTGTTCATCAAATTATTGAAAAGCATTCTTTTTTTTTTCCTCTTTGATTTGTGTCATTTACTTTATGTTAACTGTCTGGTGTTCACAACCATATTTTATTTGTGTTCTCTCCATAATACCTTTCTAAATGTTATGAAGAGTAATTCACAAAACAACATGTTCAAATTGATATCACAGCTTCATATTCCGAGAATTTCAAATTACTGCATTTTTCTCCCATTTGCTTTCCCATTACCAATCTAAACACAAAAACAGTGACCAAATCCAATATAAACTGTTAAAGTGACCATTTTAATGTCTATCTCCCAGCCATCTGTCAGTAGCAGTGTGCAGTGTGTCTTCAATAGTGTTTACAAAGTTGTTTTCTTGCAAATGGCTCTGGCACATGGACAGAATTTAAGCGCCACGGCGTTGTCTGTGTTATGAAATCATTCTCAAAACTTTTAACATCTCCAAAAATTGAACCCAGCGTTCTTTTTTCACTGCTTTGCCATCTTATTTACATATTTCTTATGGAATAATAATTTAAATCTACATATTTATCCGGTACTGAGGAATGATCACTGATTGCTTGAAATGGAACAATTCTTTTAAGGAAGGACTACTTCACAGATGGGAGAAAGCATATGCACATGCTTGGAAGGATTTGAGTTACTTTTGATGGCAGGATTGTAATTGAGCCCTCATACAATGCAGCAAGGAGGAAGCCAAGCCAAGATTTTTTAGTGGCATGCGTATGTTCACAGATAAACTGCCCTTCCTCTCATCCTCACTCTCATCTCCACTGATCATCAACGTGGCTCAGGGCATCTGCTCAAACCAAATAAACCCAAAGGGCTGGGAGTTTTCAAAGCAAGTATTCTGCCCAATTCCAACTGGGTTAGTCAATTGTTGCCATCAAAGAAATCGTCCAATGAAACACTAGAGGTCACCTAATGCACTCTGCGATGCCCCCTGACAGTTTTTAACTTTAAAAAAAAATCAATTAATTTGCAACACGTTGTTCACCACATCTAGAAGTAATTGGCCAGCAAATGACATCGATCTTGACAATCCATGAATTGGAGGTATGATCTGTGTTATTATACCTAATAAAAAAGTTTCTGGATTAAATTCAGTTTTCTGATTTGTGATTTCTTCTATCCATTGTCTAATTGTATTCCAATATTTTTTCACTTCCTGGCATATCCACCAGGTGGATAAGTGCCTTTTTCTTTTCCACATTTCCAACAATTTGGGTTTGAGTTTAACATTTTTGCCAATCTAACGGGAGGAAGGCGCCATCTGTAGAACATTTTGTATTGATTTTTCTTGTATGCTGTGGATGTAATTAGTTTGTAATTTGATCCCCACATTCTCTCCCAATTTTCCAGGTCTATATTGTGGCCAACATTTTTCTCCCATACCACCATCGTCTCTTTGACCTCCTCCTCTTCCATTTTAAAATCTAGTAGAAAGTTATATATTCTTGAAATCATTTTCTTTTCCATTTCTTGTAGAATTTTATCTAATTGATGCTTTTCTATGCAGAAACCAAATTGTTCTTTGTCCTTCTGATATCTTGCCTGAATTTGCATGTATGGCCACCAATCTATCTTTATATTTTGTTGCTGTAATTCTTGTCTCGTTTTTAATGTTCCTTGTGTGTCTAATAGGTCTTTGTAATTCCTCTTTTTTCCCAGATCCATTGCATTTGGGTAGATTTGTGCTTCCATAGTTGACAGCCATTTCGGTATTTTAGTATAATGATACTTTTAAATCTTGTTCCATATCCGAATTAATGAATCTCTAATCATGTGTCTCTGAAAATATGCATGCTGTTTACATTTCCCATCCCATAGGAAACTATGCGCTATTGTATAATAACACAAAAATGCAATAAAACAGATAGATATATTATGTTACATATATTAACAGCTGCAAGGATTTTGTACACACAACTCTGGAAAGAAAAATGGGTTCCACCAGAAGGCATGATTATAAAAAAAATAGTAGATTGTATAGAGATGGACAGGCTAACGATGAAAATAAAAGACAGAGAAGATTCAATTTATCATAGGGCCTGGGATGCCTGGTATGAGTGGTTTAGAAATAACAATAAAATAAAATGGCAATTAGGAAAAGAATGAGGGAATATGTAAATATATCATGGAGAAGATTGAGATGTAAGGATAAAAGATATTGATTTATAGTAAGAGTAAGATGTAATGGTAAAGGAATAAGTAAATACATATACTGAAAAACGTGAGGAGATGCAAAAGATGTCTTGATGTTGATAACAATGTATAAAGTTTTATTTTATATTTTTAAAATTTGGAAACTTAATAAAATTTATTTTAAAAAAAGAATTGGAGGTATGATCACGTTGTCATGTAGTCCTGCTAGAGTCCATGCTAGAGATGTATAATGACTTGAGAGAGACCTTGGGTCCATTAATTCTCAGGCTGCAGGTGGCTTTTCAAGCACAAATGTGGATGAAGCATGAAAAAGGATATAGAATGCAAATAATGCTTCTTATCTTCCATTAGTTAAGGTTTGGCTACTGCAAAAATTGCTTTGCCAATTGAAAGAGATAATACGACATGAGATACTGTTTTATAGAGATTTGCATTAATTTTTTTCTGAATTCCGGAGGACTCTACTCGTGATTCATTCATTAATATGTTTATTTGCTTGTTGCTGGCAGCAATCTGTATGTCTTTCAATCCTTCTTAGCCTCCAAAGATGTTGATGCAACTCTAAGCATTGCTTCTTCTCCCTCCTAATCTTTTCTTCATAAAAAGCAGATTAAGTCAATCAGACTGAGAAAAAAAAAAACACTGACCCCAGTCACTTATAGGTAAGGTTAAGTCCTAACGAGATGTATTGTGTTTCGTTTAGCATTCTATGTATACTAAGCTACTGTGGTTTTTCCAGCAAAATGCCATGTGGAGACTTTGGTGCCCTCTGAATTTAGTTTTCCCCGAATAACCAAACTTAGAGAGCACCAAGGATTCCATAGTTTACATATGTTCCCTCCCTTCTATTAAAAATACCACCTCTCAGTCAGGGATTGACAAACTTTTGGGGTCTTGAACACCACTGTGTAATCTTATACAAGGCTCTAAGCACTTTTTTAAAAAGTATCAACCCAAATCTTATTACATCACTAAACCTTATAAGATATACCACAATACAGTAGAACCTCTAGTCACAAACACTTCTGACCACAACCAAATCGGGTTTTGACCAAAAAATTCACAATTTTTTTGAATCTGGTCATGAACACATACTCAGGTGGTGATCAGACACGATTCCTGACCCAGAAATTCCTGAAGACGAAACATTAGAAGATGAAGTAATCGCCAATGTTATGGAATGAATGACCAGAGATTCTACTGTACTTTGACCTTCCTGTGCAATATCACATAAAATAATCACTTAAATTGCTGAAATCTCATGCACACCTTGAATGAGAACTTGCTCTATGGCTAGTTCAAAAAAGCAGGGTTCAGAAAGCCTAAAGGAGCATACCCACTAACAAGCTCAAGTAAGCTGCCATACTACAAAGCTGAGCGGAGATCTGAATGTGAGTTTTCTTAATATGATGCCTATATCTGATGCATCACCAATCAACTTAAGACAATTGTATCCAGAAAAGAAAAGAGCCATTACTGTTTCCTATTTTGCAGTATGAATCTGTACAGTTTATGGTACGTGTTTATGCTAAGAATGTTTACCTGAACTCCTAGTGATTTAATGGACACACACATGCAGTTTTCTTGTCTACAATATGGAAGTTGTTCACTGTCTCCTTTTTCTGGGATGTCCACCACCATTGAGTTTTCTGATAGACTCTCATCCAAATATCACCCAGGCCTGAACCTGCTTAGCTTCTAGGGCCAAGCAATGTTGAGAAAAGAAAGCTATAGTGTTGGATGCTTCTGTTTTGCTGGCAGTACAGATGAACACAATACCTCTCAGGGCATTTCCTTTCTGGACCAGATTTTAGTGAGTTTATTCCAGGCTATAGCCCTGTATCAACTTACCTGATAGTAAGCTTCATTGAATTCAATGGAAATTCCTATACAGAATTATGCTACTATGGTAATATTAAAGATAATTTTGCTGGGGAAATGATTCTGTTTTTCTGGATTTGTGGGTATATGAAATAAATTTATATCTTCCATTACTTCTTTAAGTATTTTCTTAAAAAAATACTTTGTATATTTGAAAGTTATGAGGACAATCTTCAGATGAAATGAAGGGTGGCAGGATGTTTAAAACGTTCAGTACATGCATCTAGACCAGCTTTCCCCATCCTGGTGCCCTCCGTAAAGACTGGACTACATCCAGGGGTGGGATTCAATTTTTTTAACAACCGGTTCTGTGAGTGTGTCTAAGTTGGTGGACATGGCTTGGTGGTCATGTTATAGGCTAGGTGTGGGCAACTCAATATCACTCACATTGAGGCATGCATCTCCTCACCTGGCCTCTCATGACTGTGGGGATGCTGCAACAGTCGTAAGTGAAAAATGGTCATAAGTCACTTTTTTCAGTGCCATGTAACTTTGAATGGTCACTCCACACAAGCAAAGTACCAGCAAAAGAGGGAAAGAAAGCTCCAGAGAGGCTCCTGAGACAGGAAGTCTAGTCCTGCCAAGAATGTAATAAGGGTTAACGGAGAGGCAGTTTCTGTAAGCAACACCAGAATGTTTTCTTCCTGCCTTCCTTACAGGATTAGGCCAGTAATTTCTTCTAACAACTGGTTCTCTGAACTGTTTAGAATGTTAACAACTGGTTCTAGTGAATAGGTGTGAACTGGTAGAATCCCACCCCTGAATACATCCTATCTTCCTCAGGAGGGAAGCATGTTCACTGCTGGGAGGAAGAGGCATGGACCAGGGAGAGAGAGCCAGACCAAGGAAGGCTGATCTAGAACTTCTGGAGTTTTTGCCAACTGCACTGACAAAACACAGCATTGACCTGGTACTAACATTTAGCAAGAGATGCTGCTTGCAATCACCATAGAAAGATAGCCCGAGTGGGTCCTCACCTCTCTCTCTCTCTCTTCCTGATGAAGGTGTCCTTTTTCATTTCTCTGTTTCATCCCAAATAGACTACTGTTATGCCCTTTTTGCTGGTCTCCTAGTCCCTGCACGCACAATTAACAGACTTCAGCTGGTTCAAAAGGCTGCTTCTCATATTCTGCCTGGCACCAGATGGAGCAAGCACATAACTAGAACGGGCTCAGCCACACTGACTGGATGTCACATTCAACCACAAGTCAAGGCACTGTTGGCATCAATTCCCTTAGAAGAGAAACTCAGTTAAAGATACCTTAAGCCTCAGCTGCCCTGCTTGGTTCAGCTGAGGCCAAGGGCCATGGCTAGAGGCTTGTCGAACCAAAGCCTAATATAACCATGATTTGGTGACACAACACCGCTTAGGCCAGAGATCTCCAAATTTGGCAACTTTAAGACTTGTGGACTTCAATTCCCAGAATTCTCCAGCTGGCTAGAGAATTCTGGGAGTTGAAGTCCACAAGTCTTTAAGTTGCCAGGTTTGGGGACCCCTGCCTTAGGCAATTTTTAACTACAGATTGGTTATAATATTCCCAATAAATCCATGTTTTCCCTTTCAGTTCTTATGGACAGCCATGCTGCTTGTCACAATTTGCAGCGAGCAACAAAGTACTGCAACTTGATCACAAAACCTCAGACTTTGTATATGATTAAAAATGGTTTTTATATTGCCAAAGGGTAAATATCATAGAATATATTAGAACCAATATAAATCTGGACGCTAATCCAGCAGAAGATTCTTTCCCAATTTTCCAATTTAACAGGAGGCTATCTCCACAAATACTCTGAAAATGAAACACAGAAAAGATTGTTTGGCTGTAGCTAAATATTTGGGATATATTTTACTGGGAACAGTCTAAGTATGTAAGTTATATGGAATAAGAAATCTTGTGGGGGAGGCATCTTCCTGGCTGGTCTACTTGCTCCTTTAGAAAAGCCTATTTTAGGGGTAAAAACTTGGCAGAAGTCAGAAAGGGAAAAGCACATGGAGCTTATTGCTCTATTATTACCTTGCATTTTTCAATTAACACCTGGAAGAGAGAGGCTCCTTAGACAAGCTAGCTCTTCCCATTTACCCTTGCAAATTGTGACATAACCAAACTTTTTGCTTTAACCTCAGTCAAATAATTATTTCTCTCTTTTGTCATAGCAGGGGCCCAGTACCTGCTGGGTGCTTAATCTTCATTAATATCCTTTGCTGATGTCTAACCTAAGCAATTCTGGGATGGAAGGAGAAAAAGAGATTGCAGGTCTATAAAACTTGGCCAATGAAAGCATCTCCTTTGTGAGTCAAATTCCAGAGATCGTCTTCATCATTTGGGCTCATTGGGGCAGATCCCCCTGTGCTGTGAGTATATTCAGGGGCCATTTAATAAACTTTCTTCAAAGTTTGTCGCCATGCTGGCATCTCCCTTGATGCTATATGTTCCGGACTAGCAGGCTTGAAAGCCTGCAATTCGGATTGGTCCGCTAACAGACTGATTGGTCGCCTCAGACTGATCCGATTGGCTATTTAGCGGGCTGCCGCGATTGGGCAAACCAAGCGCGGCAAGCTCAAATCGCTGTCATTGGCTGCCTAGCTGCAGTCAGCTCTATAAAAGGGGCTGCTGCAGCTAGGATATTTGGCTCAGATCTGAAGTCACTAATAAAGAGCTGTTGTTGCTATCTGAGTCTCGTCTCCGTTCTTGGACCCATCCTTCCAGACGTAACACTATAGTTCTTTCCTCCAAATCACTGACACACAAACTACTGGCAACATTTCTTTTCTAGCAAGTTAGATTATGGTTCTCTTTCCCGAGCTTATAAATAAGCTTATAAAATTGCTTATAAATACTGATCAATAGCTCTCCTGCATTTCAAGCAGAATCTTTTCCAGCTTTCCTTAGGAATGGCTAAATTGAATCAAATCCTCATGTGTGCAATGCAGGGGCTTTATATTATGGATTGATAATTTATTAATAGCCACCAGCTGTCAATGTACAAAATATTCAGGAAGTTCAATGTGTTAATATTTACTGTAGAGAGGGAGTGTCCAACCTTGGCAACTTTAAGGCTTGTTGACTTTAATTCCCAAGCCAGGATGGGTGGGTAGGGAATTCCGGGAGTTGAAGTCCACAGGTCTTAAAGTTACCAAGGTTGGACACCTCTGCTTGTAGAGCTTTTATTGAGGGACTTCAGGATTTTTCTGCCAAACAGAAATTATCTGGCTCCTTCACGGTTGAAATCACACAAAGCAATTTTTATACCTTAATACTGTAGTGACAGTTATGGAAAGTATGACTGAGTCAATCAGAAACTCTACTGTACTAAGCCTTAAATATATTGTTCCCATGTTTCATTTTCAGAGATAGGAAATGCTTGAGAATGCTACCACATCATTTCAAATAACTTTTGGCTCAGATACTGAAATATAGCTTTCATCTCTTCTAAAGTTTAATGATGTCTTCACAGTGATATGGAATGAAATGAACCATTTTTTTTAAAAAAAAGTATTGTTTGTTTTAAATGGTTAAACGTATCCCCCTCCATTTATTTACATAAAATGCATGTAGTATGGGACAATGGCAGTTATAATTTATTACACTGAAATGAAACATGCTTTATTGCCAGAACTAAGCTGTACTCTTACCATTCAAAGACTTATGTTACAGTCTTACCTTACTAAAGTCAACAGTGCTGTTTTCTCGGCTGACATCATTTTTGGTTTCAGTGGTTGGCACAGACTGTGGGGAAACAAGCTGACCTGCTGGAAAAAATTGTTATTACAGAATACTAACACTTTTCTGTATTATTGTTACAAAACAGTCAATTGAAATAAAAAATAAATTCTCCCTTGAGTCAGCTTGAGTCCAGTGAACCTCAGAGAAGGGGTTGCAATTTGCTTGATAACAGTAGATAAATAATGATTTTAAAAAATATCAGTCCATAGTTCTGGATTTCCCAGTCTAGTCTCACATTCAAATAATAATCAGGGCAAATGCTACTTAGCTTTTACAAATTAGTTGAAGATTTGCTTGGTGCTACCACCTGAAAGGGCCTTCTACTGAAGAGACATTTAAATGAAAGGTTCATATACACCATATCTATGTACAAACATTTCATGTTGCAAAGTATAAGCCATTACTACATATATAAGTAATACATTTTCTTGATCATAACTTACTGAAAATAATTAGGGCCAACTGAATAAAAATGTTTAGTCTATTTGCAGTATGCATCACTTTATAAAAGCTTGCTAAAATAAAGTAAAGTAAACTTTATAAAAGTTTACTTTATTGATTTACTAAAACTCATGACTCAACTTGTATTTAAATAGGGAATGTAAAATTGATTGTTTAATGTCTCCTGGAAGAAAACAAGCAGAGGAAGGAGTGTTAGATATGCATTGCTGCCTTGAGCTCTTTATAAAAATAACAAAGGCGGGATTAAAATAATAATAAGATAAAATAAATTAATAAAAATAAAATAATAAAATAAAATAATAAAATTATTGAAATAGTCACCCCTCTTGGGTGGTGGTATCATGGAACATTGAATACAAAAAGCATGACATAAGGTAACAACTCTATCTCTCTACTCTGGGAGTTCAAATAAGGAAAGCTATTCCTTCATAGCTTATTAATATATCCCCCTTCTTGCAAATACTGAAAACACATTTATTATAGCTCATGAAGCTAAGTGCCCTATATAAAGCACAATAAAGTGCCCTGTATAATTCCTGACAAGGGGGCAAGGGATTGAATCACATACAATCTAATCCCAATTATAACACATTATAACACATGTACCAAGTAATGTGTAAAATGTGAATCAAATGATAGCTGACTATTGCTATTGCAATAAATACATTTTCCCAGGATCACTGTTAGAAGGCAACACTGCAATAAGATGCATATTTCCTTACAAAATTGCATAGAGCCAGTAGTGAGCTGCAACCGGTTCTGTGAGCGCGAGCTCATTCAACTATGATCCCAGAAATACTGGGAGGGAAATCATTATTTTTAAAAATCTACACAGGTTTTAGTGCTAAACTAGAGGTATTCATTGTCCAAATCCACTCTACATTTTCATCCAGACTTTTCCCCATTTTTATTTTATTATACACTGCTCAAAAAAATAAAGGGAACACAAAAATAAGACATCCTAGATCTGAATGAATAGAATATTCTTATTAAATACTTTGTTCGTTACATAGTTGAATGTGCTGACAACAAAATCACACAAAAATTATCAATGGAAATCAAATTTAGCAACCCATGGAGGTCTGGATTTAGAGTTACACTCAAAATTGAAGTGGAAAAAACCACTACAGGCTGATCCAACTTTGATGTAATGTCCTTAAAATAAGTCAAAATGAGGGTCAGTAGTGTGTGTGGCCTCCACATGCCTGTATGACCTCCCTACAATGCCTGGGCATGCTCCTGATGAGGTGGCAGATGGTCTCCTGAAGGATGTCCTCCCACACCTGGACTAAAGCATCCCCCAACTCCTGGACCGTCTGTGGTGCAACGTGGCATTGATGGATGGAGCGAGACATGATGTCCCAGATGTGCTCAATTGGATTCAGGTCTGGGGAATGGGTGGGCCAGTTCATAGCATCAATGCCTTCGTCTTGCAGGAACTGCTGACACACTCCACCCACATGAGGTCTAGCATTGTCTTGCATTAGGAGGCACTCAGGGCCAATCGCACCAGCATATGGTCTCACAAGGGGTCTGAGGATCTCATCTCAGTACGTAATGGCAGTCAGGCTACCTCTGGCGAGCACATGGAGGGCTGTGCGGCCCCTAAAGAAATGCCACCCCACACCATTACTGACACGCTGCCAAACCACTTATGCTGGAGGATGTTGCAGGCAGCAGAACGTTCTCCACGCCGTCTCCAGACCCTGTCATGTCTGTCACATGTGCTCAATGTGAACCTGCATTCATCTGTGAAGAACACAGGGCACCAGTGGCGAATTTGCCAATCTTGGTGTTCTCTGGCAAATGCCAAACATCCTGCATGATGTTGGGCTGTAAGGACAAGCCCCACCTGTGGGCATCGGGTCCTCATACCACCCTCATGGAATCTGTTTCTGACTGTTTGAGCAGCCACATGCACATTTGTGGCCTGCTGGAGGTCATTTTGCAGGGCTCTGGCTGTGCTCCTCCTGTCCCTCCTTGCACAAAGGCGGAGGTAGCAGTCCTGATGCTGGGTTGTTGCCTCCCTATGGCCTCCTCCACGTCTCCTGATGTACTGGCCTGTCTCCTGGTAGCGCCTCCATGCTCTGAACACTACACTGGCAGACACAGGAAACCTTCTTGCCACAGCTCGCATTGATGTGCCATCCTGGATGAGCTGTACTACCTGAGCCACTCGTGTGGGTTATAGACTCTGTCTCATGCTACCACTAGAGTGAAAGCACTGCCAGCATTCAAAAGTGACCAAACCATCAGCCAGAAAGCATAGGAACTGAGAAGTGGTCTGTGGTCACCACCTGCAGAAGCACTCCTTTATTGGGAGTGTCTTGCTAACTGCCTCTGCTTTCCACCTGTTGTCTATTCCATTTGCACAACAGCATGTGAAATTGATTGTCGATCAGTGTTGCTACCTAAGTGGACAGTTTGATTTCACAGAAGCGTGATTGACTTGGAGTTACATTGTGTTGTTTAAGTGTTCCCTTTATTCTTTTGAGCAGTGTATATATATGTATGTATGTATGTATGTGTATGTGTGTGTGTATGTGTGTGTGTGTATATATAAATAAAATGACAGATAAAATATTTCTGACAGCACAATCCATTTCTAATTTATACTTTTCAGATTAGAAAAACAGTAAGACCATCTACAAAAGAAACTTATCCTGGCTAGAGTGGAATAGCCATTAAAAAATCTGATACCTTTTTGCAAAAAGGCCATGAAGACCTTGAAAGTGATTAATCCAGATTAATCACGATGACCCATTATGCTAAAAAAGGACTGACGTGAAGAGTGAATATCTGAATTGACCTAATGTTCATGCAAGATAGATTTATAGTACACTACCTCTGGACCTTCAAGGAGTTTACAGAACCCAAAGGTTAGAGATGAAGGAGGACAAAGATGGGATGAGCCTGTTAGAGACAGATACAATAAAGATATAGCAAAAGAAAGAACATGGAGATGATCATGCACAACAGCAGAGTTTAGATCAGAGATAGTCAAACCTTCTCTGGCTGCGAAATCTGTTAGTTAGAAAAAAACATATTCAGGAAACCTTGATCAAGAGGCAAACCTCTAGTGATTAAAAAAACCTGCTACCTGCTAGTGAATTTCTTTTTCTTGTCCTTAACCTCTCAAAGAACCCTCCTACCAAGTTCACACAGAACAGTAGGGTTCCATGAAACATAGTTGGAAAAACTCTGGTTTAGATCGTGCACTATTATTCATGAACAGGGAAAGGGAAACCTATGGTGAAGGAAAGGTATGATATGAAGTGGAAATGACTTAAGAATGATGGAATATTTATTTCAAAATAGTATTACGATAACACTTTTTCTGAAAAGAAATAATAAAAGTGGAAAAGATGAACAGAGGGGAACAAGTGAGAAAATAAGAACTGCTGTACTGTTGTAAAAGAAAAAGTGACCAGGCTGTGGAAATTTTGAAGCCAGGAACACCTAAATTTTAAGGAATACAAACTAGAATCTCAAATAGCATAGAATTTTCCTCCAGCAGCATTCAAACAAGAACATTCCACGCATTGAACCAAAGGTGCTTTTTCAAGAGGCAACTGGACTTTCTGGTTTTTCTTTGAAAATGTTTTGCTTCTATCCAAGAAGCTTCTTCAGATTAATCAAATTAAGCTTAATCAGATTAAGTTTAATCAGTTTTATCTGTAATCTATCGATGGGATTACCCAGGGAATTATCAAATTTCTTGTGAATCAATCAAAAATATTGCTTCTTTAATGGCCAATGTTCTGAAATTTTGGTCATTAAAGTCATGAAAATAATCTGTTAACCTGTGTTACAATCTTTCACTTGAATATAACCAACTCAAATACCTTGTTGTTTCATAGGCTTTTAATAGAACTCATTAAATGTAAACAGAATGTAAATGCATCAGTGTTAGTTTGCATCATTGTAATTGCATCATTGTCACTGGAAAATGAGCCAAAATAAATTGGTACTGTTCAAATATATTGATCCAGAGTTTGTATCATTCCTAAGGAGCTGTCACTGAGCAAGTTAAGTCTGGAATTGTATTCTAGCACAGGTGCAAGCCATCAATTTAGAGGGAAAATGCTTAAGACATATATATGGTTCAGTTCTGAACTTGCTTACCTGAAATAGGCTCAGAGAAATCAGACTTTGTTAAAGGCTTTATTTTAAGACAAAAGATGACTAATTTGCAAAATCGTTTTCATAAGGGGTTTTATAAAATGTATTGCTTTGATCTCCTCAAGTCAGGATAATTGCCTTGCTTTTTTCTGAAAATATCATTTTTTTCCCCATCTTAATCTTAGCAACTCATAATTGTTTAGGAAATGGAGTGACAACAGACACACTTACATAACCCCGCAAAAAAGATTGCTTTTTCTTTCTTTTATAACTCTCTTCTCACTTTATCTCAAACTCTAAATTGATGGAAGGACACTTAGGAATGTATAAATGTTATTTAAATCTGTCCAGGTAAAACCAACGAGGTATACAGCAACTGCTGAATATATCTTTCTGTAAAAACAACTCGTTAAATAAAGAAGCCAGTTAAGCTCCTGCACATCTGTACCAAAAACCTACGCTTTCCCTTCCTGATTGCCTGCAAATTGTTTCATTTTATGAGGTGTCCTACTCTATAATTTCTGAGTCACTGTCAAAGATTTGCTATCATCCCTTATAACTCCAATTTCCCACAGTTAGGGAAGGGAACTTGAGAAAATGCCTGGGTTGGACAAGAAGACTGAAATGCCATATAAAATCAAAATGTGGCATAAATCACGGATATTGGCAAATCCATTGTATCAAAGCTACATTAACATGACACTTTACCATTTTTGTCCATGGAATGGGGTTCAGACTGTTTCTTGCCAATGTCAGCAAAGGACCTGACTATTGGGATCCTATTGCTTAATTTCTTTTGGTTCTGATGGTGATGCTGTTTGAGTAAAGCCTCGTGGACTCTGTGACGAACATCCTCACTGAGCTGCCCGGACCCTACTTGTTGATCAAGAATCATATCTGAAAAAAATAAAACAGCAATTGAATTATATTTTGAGTTTTGAGTCAATTGTGCAATAAGTAGCCACATTTCTAATGGATTCTCAGTTGAAGCATTCGGTCAAATCTGTTACTTATATGAGATTTGATCACTGTGCTGCAAGTATCATTGCAAGTAATACCTAGTATCGATGGTTCAGATTTCCATGGGAGAGCTAAAGGGATTTTTAAAAAATGTGTGAAAGGTACCCCCTGAAATCACCAAATCAGGTTTGCTTGGTCAATGACCTTCCAGGATTGAACTGCGAAGTTTGCAAGTGGGCTCTGCTTACATTTGTTTCTTAGTGAACCTGCAAGAAGGTTTCCACAAGATAAATGTTTGCCCAGATCACTCTATCCTCACAATACCAGTTTCAGTTTTTGTACTGGTATTTTGTTATCTTGTAACCATGTTTATGAACATGAAAGATAAGCAGTATTGACAAACAGGTAGACCGAGTTTGCTATTCACTTCCATATCCAACTATTCAAATTTATGTAAGCATTTGAGTAATCAAGCTACCAGCTATAGAAAGTCAAGACATTGGGATTAAAGCCCTAGAAAAAGCCATGAAGTAGGATTTAACTCTTTCCTCAAACATCATTTTCATTCCACCTACTGGCATTCCCACTGTGGTTTTCTTGTACAAAAATTATAGGGAGTGGGCTTTTTCAAGAAAACAAAATAAGCAGGGTAAGGATTAATCACGATTCCACCCTCACTTCAAACTGGGTTTGCCTCTACTGCTTTGCAACTATTTATTGGAGAGTCTTTTTTCAAACTGCATGATGAGATAGAATCTTTTAGGGGAAGCAGCTTTTGAGAAGCAGTTGCTTGAAACTGCTTCCTTGGTTATGCAGATATAAAAACTGCCCAAACTAATCAGGACAATAAAATGAATTTTGCTATGCAAGCTCAATTCTGATTTGACCTGCGCACATGAAAATGAATTTTGAAAAGATGAGTAGATAAAACCATACAGTCATCAAGAGTGCAGCGTTCCTCTGATCAGTTTTAAAATTATAACCAGGTATCCAAGGGTGGATGGGCAGTTAAAAAATATGATATAAATAAATATGTCCAGATCAGCTTCCGATATCTATTTTTCTCCCTCTCTTTCTAAGCATAAGCAGATTTCATGGCTATAAAACAGACATCGGAGAATCAGTCACTGTAGAAGACAGGATGCAGGTATTGAACTGAACCAAAACATATATCTATATATTTGATATAGATATATAATTTATATATTTCAGCACGCTATTAATAATTATATAAAATTTAATAGGCTGATAGATACAACAGTTTCTTCAGTAAGAAAATTAAAGAGGGAAATAAACAAAGAAGGAAAATGGAGAGAGAAATTTTATGCTGTTAAGTTTTAGATATTTTTAGAAAATGGTAACACTTTAAAAAGCAAGTTTCTTAGTACAACCAATGAATCAACATTAATTAAACCACAAGGAGTTTGCGTATTCATTAGAAGACACAATGTCACAGAGCCCCTCTGACATAGCCAGAGTGAGTCATCAACGGTTTTGTTGAAAATCCTTGGATGGCTCATGAGCCTTTTTCTGAGCCATTCCACTTTTCCAAGAAAACTCATGCGTGAAACAAGAAGGGCACGCAGATGTCAAAAGCAGATGGGATTAGTCAAGTGTTTGATTATTTGAGAAAAAAAGGCACAGGTACTCAGAATAAAAGGCACAATTCTTAATTATGTATGTCTACAGAACAAACCAGCTTGCCATGTAATGATGTGACAGTCATCCTTTTATATCTTTCTCAAATAAAAGAGATCATGTGATTCGAAGAACACAAAGTTGTGCTATTGTCAAGTCCATGCATTCTGCATGGATGTCTATCAAGAGGAATCTTATTTGTATATTCATTAACCCCCCAAAATAATAATATCCAATTGCATGAAGTTTTGGCTCTCAGACAAGTACACATGTGCAGAATCTTTCAAGCGTACAGGTGTTGACACAGAGGGAAGAAGTCTGCTTTCCGTTTAATCACATTGACATCTTTCGTGGGATTAGCACATGGAGGAAGAATATAAGAAGACTGCTTTCTCCCCCACACTCTTTGACCTGACATGTCATGTAACAACACTTATATGAACAACTGTCATTTTTGTGCCCAACTTAAGAGTCTCAAGAGCATATGTATATCAGGTCACTTCAGGAAAAAAAAAGTCTAATCCAATAGTATAGCTTGTGTCTGTTTAAGAAAAGACTATGCAAAATGGCATCATATGGTTCTACTTTCTATTTCATCCATAGCCAGCCAAACAGCTCTCTGAAGCGTACTAGCAAAGTAATGTAAGCTTTTCCCAGCATTTAATGCCAAGTATGTATATTTTTAAAAAAATAGCTTCTGGGGTGGGTAGGTAGACAGAACAATTAATTTACAAAACAGTCAAAAACAGCCAAAATTTACATTAATACATTAATAAATGTAATCTATCCTTGACCAGGATTGATGCCTACCAAAATAATATGTGTATGCTTTCAACAAAGGATTTGTGCCCACCCCCCAAGTGTCAGTAATCCATAGATATACAATAATGCCCACAGCTTCTTGAATATTAAATATTAAAATACTCATTTTCTATTCTTAAGAACAGCCATTGGTATTCTTACATCATTAAGTATTCTTACTTAAATGGAGAATATTTGTAACTCAGGGTTGAAATGAAAGGTCCTTGGTGGTCTGTGAGCTTGGCTGCTTTCTTGCAGACATTTCCTCATCATATCAGCGAAGATATTACCTGTTCTGGGTAATGAAATCTCTGCAAGAAAACAACCAAGCTCAGAGAGCAGCAAGAACCCCTCATTTAAATCTTCCAAGATTAGATTTTCCAATCCAAATTTCTCCAAGCTTTTTTATAAAGCCCATTTGATTTTGATTCTGGGATGTAAATGGAGGCTAATATTAAAGTTCTATTATCAAATTTCCCCTTGAGAATAAGATAAATCTCCATTGTAATCTTTTTGGATCTTTTTTATTTTCAATTCTATACTGGCTTTAATTACAATGGTCACTCTGGATTCATTAGCACTTTCCGCAAAAAAAAAATTAAAAAGCTTTTCTAAATTGCTTTTCTTAAGCAATCCTAACTTGTATGTTTCCCACAATATCACTGTTGATGCACTAAAGGATATTATATATTTACAGATATTCTCTTCTCTTGGATCTTCTTCTATATAATTCTAGTTCTTTTTAATCAACTCTCCCATTCCCCTAACATTTAAAGTTACTATTGTATTTTACATTCAGTTGTTTCTGCTTTACATTTCTCCAATGTACATTTTGCTTCCCTAAATAAGGCATTGCAATAACAGCTACAACAGCAAGCAGATTGTTTGATAAGTTGGAGTAGATTTCAGAAAAAACCCATTTCATTTAATCATCCCCCTTTCACCCGAACCCTCTCTTCTCCATTCCATTACCCTAATTTCCATCTAATCTCTCCCAAAGAATATTGTTCCCCCTGACCCTCTTGACTGGATGTGAAAATTCTCCTAGCAGGTTGAAGAGTCCTCTTTTCAATCTAAAATGGAGCACTGGGGAAGTGTGGGGAGAGGTTATGTAGGACTTAATTCATATCCCAGCTAGGCTTGGGCCTTTTATCTACTGTATAAAATAGGTTGTTTTATATCCATCCTATTATTCCTTAACTGTTCTCAGACACTTACTCTAACCTTTAACATTTTTTCTTTCCCTTCTTCTTTTTTAATCACAAAGTCTAATTCTTTACTATGTTCTTCAAGTCCATTTATTTATTTATTTATTGGAATTTGTCAAACAAAAATGAGAACAAGAATAAAAGAATAAAAATACAATGACAGGGACAATAGGCATATTAGTGCACTTATGCACTTATGACTTAAATTCTCAGGGTAAGTCAGCCATTTTCCAAGTATACAAATTTACCTTCTGATAATTATTCATGTGGCTGTCAAAACTCAGTTCACTTTGGAAAGAGTAGAAGTAATTTTCTTTTATCTGAAGTTTAAAGACAATTAGCTTATTCCTTGTTTTATACACCGCTTCAGTACAAAGTTTGAAATCTCTCCTTCCTTGTAAAGTAGCTGGATTTACATCCGGGAAAAGATATGTAGTTTCTTCCCCTCTGTTTTATTTTCTCCAGCTAATGAGCCATTTACAAATCTTATTTCTGGCCCAAGATTAAGACATCTTATAATAACATCTTGTGGGTTTTGCATTCTTGTGAGCCTAGGTCTGTAAATTCCAAGGGCACACTTCACATCTTTCTCAAGTAAGTTATATTTCTGGCACATTAATTTTTGGAATAAGGTATCCTAATAAGTCAGTCTTATCTGCATTCTCCCAAATGCCTCCAATCTTTAAATTGTTCCTTCTGTTTCTATGCTGAACATCAGCCAAGTCCAATTTCATGTTCATCAAAACTTTTTAAAATTATGCTAATATCACTTTAATTTTTATAGCAATATATTGCTATAAAATGTTAGCTATCTGTTCAATCTCTGAAATGTAGATAGTCATATCTTTCAATTGCTTTTTAATATGATTAGACATACTTTCAAAGTCTTTACAAAGTGCAGTTGTTCATTTATCCCATTCTAATTTTAATTGAATTGTTTGTTGGTTTGTTGGTTTATTTGTTGGTTTGTTTATATTCCTTGTTTCTAAATTGCCCATCTCCCTCAAAGAGTGAGTCTGGGTGGAATATAATAAAACATTGAAATATAAAACAGTATATAAAACATTAAAACAGTAAAGTTAAAAAATTAACTCCTTCTGCAAAGTAAGGTGCGATATAAATGTATTAACATTAAATTGTTTGAACAGCCAAGGAAATTACAGCAAAAAAGATCAATAATATTCTTCTTTTAAAGAATTGCAGCCTACATATATTTTAGCAGGGATTCCACTAAGAATATTTTGGCAGTTAAAAGACATTCAGTGCAGATACTTGAGTGATATTAGGCACTAGCTACTTGGAAGTAGTCTAAGAGGCCAAGACCTTCCTATACTCAATCCTGCTGGGTGGTAGGTCTCTGAACTCAACATTAGCAACCGTAAATTGTAACAGCTGTATACAAAGCTATAATTCAGACTTGCAGAGAAGAGCTTCTTTATGGCTATAAAAGCCAAGAGAGATGTCAAAACAGGCAAATTGTCAGACTTCATATGGCGCCCGGCAATAAATGTTGACTGTCCAAAATTCCAACTAGCTGAGAACAGCAGCTTTGTAAACTTAATATTGCTATCTAAGCTAAAGCTTCTAAATTGCAGATGTGAACAAACTCACGTACTGTGTGCTCAGAAGATCTGATTCCTGCAGAATAAAAATCATATACCTAAGGTTGCATCAGAATGTAAATCCAAGATGTATTTATTTGTTTGATCTATTTGATTATATTTATAACCTGCCCCCATCCTGTCTGATTTTGGGCTGGGTACAAAAAAGTAAACAATAAGACACTAAAACCCAGTACAAAGACTTAAAATTATTAAAAACCAAGTAAACATAAAGCATCTAGGTGACCAATAAATAAAAGCACAAAGTTATTATTTATGAAAAACAAACAAGGTTGGGGCTACCAATATTCCAGGAAAATTTATTCTTTAACATCAAGGACACTACAGAGAAAGTTTGTTGCCTAATCTAGACTCGATGCACTTTGTGAAGGGAAGGGACAATCCCACAACAGGCCCTCTCGCAATTGCCAGACTGAATAAGCAGGTTCAATTTTGGAACGTTATACTTGAAATATCCTGGAGTTTACATTGTACAACCTGTAGCTTCCCAGTCACCAAAGGCAACATTATGTAGAGCACCTAATAGTAGTCTGAGTGAGTGGTAATCAGGGAGTCTTGTCCAGGTAGAGATGTAACTGGTACACCTGCTAAAGCTGGGTGAAGTCTTTCCTAGTCACTGTTAGATTAGCAATTTATTTTTAGCAGGATTTCATCTGTACTTATTTTGCTCTTATTTTGTCCTGTTCAGATCTTCATAGTCTCCAGATACCAGACTTTTCTTCCAATTAGTGGACTTTTGGGTAATTCTCTCAGCCAGACAGTCAAGATAAGACTGTCTCTGTTTATATAATGGTTCAGTCTTGCATGAGAATCATTGGTTCCCACGTTGCCTGCTTCAACCCTAACACATATCACTATCTCTTTTTTTTTATCCCCACTTAAATAAAAATGAATTTTAATAAAAATGAAGATTTGATTCCTTAACATGAAAATCACCACGATCTAATAATAGAATTATTCAAAACAGAAATTGGACCTTATACAGGGATAGACTTCTAACCAGCAATGGTTAAGTCTCACTTATAGTGTGAGAAATCTCTTCTAACAGCTTTGCAGATAAATTTTGTCAAGTAATGTTTCATTTGATAACAAATGTTTATTACTCAAAATGGAAGTTATGTTTAATTGTTAATTTATTTTACCAGTTTATTACTGGTTGCATTCCTATATTCACTTACCTAGCACTAAGTCCCATTGACCTCAATAAAACTCACTTCTCAATTAGGATGTAAAAGAAATCTTTCACTGATTTATTTTCAAACAAAATGGTATCATCCAGCAAAACAAAATCTGTTGTGATAAGTTATAAAGTCCACCTAATGTACACCTTATATATTACCTAACTAAAAAAAAGAATCAAATAAAAATGAGCACAGTTTGGAAAAATTCTGTATAAAAGAAAGAGAGAGGAACAAAATAAACAGCTGAGAAACTGTATACATACAAAAATTCTCCCAGGTATCAGAGATAGTCAGATAAAAATATTAGAGGGAAGATTACAGAAATATTTGGTATTATGGAAATATTTGTAGTTTTTTTTTACTGTCAGAAAATAATGATTTCCAGAAAAACTGACAGAGAGAGCTAATAGTCTGCTTAGAGTCATGGAATAGATTCGGCTGAGCTATAAAACTTCTAGTTCTGAATACAGTATGTATTTATTGAAACACATTTTCCTATTTAATAACTAAAGCAACCTAGAAATAATAAGCTTCATATTTCCTTCATTACACAATATAAAGTTGAATGATTAACAACAGTGTTAAAGTGCAAGTTTCAGCTTTTCAAACCAACTAAATGCTATTTCAGCAATTTATGGAGTATACAGGAAATGCATTCATAGCATGTTACTGTTACCTGTAAAAACATTTTCTTTTGAACATTTCAATTGTCTTTCATTAATTTAAAATATTATCACCATGAGTTTGGAAATTTCTATTATTTTATTTCTTTACAACATACAGATATTAACACAGATATTTTGGGCCTTACTATTGAAGCTTTGTGTAGCTGAATACAAAACTGGCTCATTCTGCAGCATCCCATCTGATTCCCTTACTATTATTAGTAATTACTTTCTATTATGTACTATTATATTCCCTTATTATTCTGTTAAATGGTATATTTCTTTCAAGGACAACCTCATCCAAACAGAACTTTTCTGTTAATTGTTATTGCTCTAAATCCACAACAAATAGCTTCCTGCCTTGGAGAAAATAATGTAAAGTGCAATATCAGCGCTATGTAATATATATAACATGCTAAAAATGCATGCAATAATGTTGGAGCCTTTAGTTTAAAGTTTTAAAAAGTTTGCTATCTCACCCTAATATGCTGAGAGAGATTTCTGAGCAGATAAGGTTATATTAAAAGATTAAATAAATAAACAACTCACCTGCAATTTCCTCTAAAGAATTTGCTCTCATGTCTAGTAAGACTGTGCCATTGAGGATACAACTTCTCAATTCAAACAAGCTATGAAGTGACAAAGTAGCAACATATGGTTTACTCCACCTCTCACCACCATCTTCAACATCTTCTTCAAACTTCAACCACCTAGGTAAACAAAACATTTTAGTCAGATTTCCTCAGGTGAAAAGTAAGCCATATCATAACCAAACATAGAAAATAATCCACAAAGAGTAAATAGAATATAGTATGGGAAGAGATATGAGAGAAAAAGGAATTGTCAAAACCATCTTTCTAGGTTTTCAGTTTGTGGGATCAGATAGCCTCCTATGAACAGGAGATTACCACTAATCCATCTTTGTTTCTGAATTTTTGATTCAGTTTGTATTAAGATGAGAAAATTATACTACTGCTATAATGTCATGAATTCTGCAGTACAAGGATTTCCAAGATTGTATATGTAGCAGTGACAAGAAAAAAGGTACATAATTGTCAGAAATCACTATGCTACTTTAATAATATGATAAAAGCCTATTACTTTATTTCCACTTATACTTTCAGCTAAGAATGTACTAGAATTTTGAGAGCAGCTTTTGGCATTCTTGCTAAACAATTACTATGCTGGACATCCTATGGAATTTTTCATTTAAAGCATGGAAACCAATGATCAAAAATATTCCTTTTTAAGACTTTCTAAAAAAAATTGTGTTATGTCCTCGGGGCTGACACAAGTTTCCCCTCAGGTCCGTTCATACTGCGGGGGCGTTTGCAGCCCCCATTGGCTGGCTCCCTTCGACAGCCGGCTATAAAAGCCGGCTGCTGGGTCGAGCCAGCCGCTGTTCGCTGGAAGGTCTGTTGTTAGCTTACAGACGCGACAGCCCCCTTTATTCCCCTGAATAAAGTGTGTTATTGAGATGCTCTGGTGTGGCCTCCCCTTTGTTCCGAACTATAACATTGGCGACGAAGGTGGGATCTGGCCAACCAGCAGCAATACCAAAAGAGCTGAAACACAAACCAAAACGCTGAACCGTAGCCGCGCCGTTTGAGAGCTCGGTCAGTCGTTGATTGCGGAAGTGAAAGTGGAGCGTGTAGCCGCTCAGTTAAAAAAGCTACGTGAGAGAAGTGGGGCACTGAGAACCTCAGCCGCCCAGCATTGAGCACAGAATCCAACCGCTGCTGTTCGGATTCTGCTTGTTAGCGAAGCTTTCGGCGCTGCGCTCACAGCCGCCAGAACACATAGGCGCGCGATTTGAATAGCTGTCAGCACGACGCTACAGCTATAGCCGCCTACGCCCTTGTAAGGGCGCGAAATTCAAACGGAAGTCAGTTACGGTGCTACAGCAATAGCCGCCATAGTCACACAGAGCGTGTAACCCAGAGAGATCCTTTAGAGCTGAAGCAGCGCTGCGAACTGCAGCTGCCATTCTTATCAGGGCCTTGTATTCCCAGAGAGAGATTGGTCAGTCTACCAACAGACTGAACACCCAATATGAATTCAAATCCGGCGTTTCCACCATTTAAGCCAGATTAAGACAAGTGGGACTCTTACAGAAACTGCTTCAATCACTACCTTGATGCCATCGGTCTGGCCGATGCTACCGAGAACAGGAAGAAATCGTACTTCCTGAGTTACTGCGGGGCCACAGTATTCGATACCGCCACAACGCTACTCGCCCCCAGGGAATTAAAGAACGTTCCGTGGTCCGAGCTGTTGGAGACACTCTCTAACCATTATTCCCCAAAGCCATCGCAGATAGCGAGACGTTTTGCCTTTCGTATGAGGAAACAAACAGATGGAGAATCTATCAATCAGTATATGGCCGCCCTGAGAACCGCAGCTCTCCACTGCGAATTTAAAAATTACCTAGACGACATGCTCCTGGATCAACTCGTCTGTGGAGTCAGAGATGTAAGGTTACAGAGGCGGTTGCTGGCCAGAAAAGATCTCAACCTCACCCAGGCAATCGAGGAAGCTTTGGCCGCTGAACTAGCGACACAATCGGCCGCTGAAATACAAGGAAGCGCAGCCAAACCCAGTCCGGTCACTGTTCATTCCGAGGAAACAGTGAGTGAAGAAGACCCCACCGAACACTTAGAAGTGCATCGCCTCAAACCTTTCAAACAGCCACAGGTAGGAGCTAGGCCAAAAAACGGCAACGTGCCTAAACACATCCTGTTGTGCCTCTCCTGCGGGGGGTCCCATGCCAGAACGACTTGCAGGTTCAGGAACGCCACCTGCAACAATTGCGACAAGAAAGGCCACATCGCCAGGGCCTGCCAGGCAACGCACGCGGCTCCACAAAAGTCATCGTCCCCTTACTCCCCTCCGGGGTCACCCAGGCAAGTAGAAAATTGTTATACGTGCTACCAAGCTAACCACACTTTTTTGACACCTAATAAAATTACCCTCTCTATTCATTTAGAAGGTAAACCCTGTCTTATGGAAGTCGATACCGGATCGGCACTATCAATCATCTCTTGGAGCACACTTAAGAAAATACAACCCAACCTGTCCAGGAAGCAACTCCAGAAGAGTCGTCTCACCTTGAGGGATTACCAGGGGAAGAATATTCCAGTACTCGGAACAGGCAAGTTCCTCGTTAGATTCAAATCCTTTAAAGGCCATCTGCCTTTAGTGGTGGTAGATGGTGCCCTCCCTAGCCTTTTGGGGTTGGATTGGTTCCCCTATCTCGGCCTTAGCTTAACGGGAGTACATGCTGTCTCACCTTCCGATATCGACTCACTATTTTCAGACTATGCTGATGTGTTCAGCAATGAATTGGGTTGTTATAATGGTACGCCCATTTCCTTTTCGGTGTACCCCAAAGCAGTTCCCGTCCGTTTAAAACCGCGCAGAGTACCATTTGCTCTGCGCGCTAAGCTGGATGCAGAACTGGACAAATTGCTCCAACAAGGGGTGATCGAGCCCACGGATTTTGCTAAATGGGAGACTCCAATTGTCACACCCCTTAAAAAAGATGGTAGTATCAGAATGTGTTCTGACTATAAAACCACAATTAACCGCTATCTACAGACTAGCGCATACCCAGTCCCAGTAATCCAACACTTACTACACACATTTGAGCCGGGAACCATATTCGCCAAATTGGATATGTCACAGGCTTATCAGCAATTTCCTGTGGATAACCAAACGGCCGAACTACAAACTATTGTCACCCACAGAGGGGCGTTTCGATGCAAGCGCCTCCAATTTGGCGTTAGCGTCGCCCCAGGAATCTTCCAGTCATTAATGGAACGGATACTGCAAGGCCTCCCTGGCGTAGTTCCGTACTTTGATGACATTTTGATTTCAGCCAGGGACAGGCCCCAACTTTTTCTCAGAGTCAGAGCGGTATTGGATAGGTTCAGGCAGCATGGCCTCAAACTAAAAAGGGAGAAGTGTGCCATCGCCACTAGGCAGGTGGACTTTCTTGGGTATAAAATAGATGCCTCTGGCATCCACCCCGTGGAGTCTAAAGTCAAAGCCATTCACGAGGCACCCACTCCGTCTTCCAAGTCAGAATTACAAGCTTTCCTGGGTTTGCTAAACTTCTATGCGTCATTCCTACCCCACAAAGCCTCAGTAGCAGAACCGTTGCATAGACTTCTAGACAAAAACACTCCGTGGCATTGGGGTCCCAAAGAGGAATACGCCTTTAAGGCAGTCAAATCGCTACTCACTTCGGACGCTGTCCTAATACAATTTGACCAGCACCTTCCTCTAGTCTTAGCTGCAGATGCCTCACCTTTCGGGATCGGGGCTGTCTTAAGCCACAGACTTCCCAACGGCTCCGAAGCGCCAATCACATTCTTTTCTAGAACCTTGTCAACAACCGAGCGTAATTATAGCCAAATTGACAAAGAGGCCCTAGCCGCCGTTGCTGCGGTCAAAAATTCCATGAATTTCTTTTTGGTCACAACTTCGAACTTGTCACAGATCACAAACCACTGTTGGGGCTCCTCTCAGGAGAAAAACAAACACCGCAAGTCCTGTCCCCCAGGATGACTAGGTGGACCCTATTCCTGGTGGCCTACTCGTACAAACTGGTTCACCGCCCAGGAAAAAACCTCAGCCACGCCGACGCCCTCAGCCGCTGCCCATTGCCAGCACCCGTGGAGGACCCGGCCCCCGTCCATGCCATTTTCGATGCCAGTGAGTTCGACATCCCAGTCACCGCTGGCGACATCGCCCTCCACTCCAAAAAAGATAAACTTATCGCCCAGGTTCTGGACTGGGTACGGAGGGGGTGGCCGGGCGGTAATCTCTCAACTGAATTCTCACCGTTCAAAATCCGCCAGCAAGAACTTTCCAGTTTACAGGGCTGCCTGTTATGGGGGACCAGAGTTGTCATTCCAAAACCTCTGCGCACACCCGTCCTGAAGGCATTACACGAGGGGCACCCTGGCATCGTCCGGATGAAAGCGTTGGCTCGGAGTTACGTCTGGTGGCCAGGCATGGACGACGAGATCACGAAATGGGTAAGCACCTGCCACCCCTGTCAACAATCCAGGCCAGCACCACCGATCACCACCCCAACCAAATGGGAAAGTACCAACGCACCGTGGTCACGGTTGCACATTGACTTGGCCGGGCCATTCCACGGCAAGACCTTCCTGGTGGTCATGGATTCGTTCTCCAAATGGATCGATGTAGCTCTCCTACCCACAACCACCACCCGAGCAATTGCCCAGGCTCTGACCCGCTTATTTGTCACACACGGTCTGCCTGACACCATAGTCTCAGACAATGGCCCCCAATTTACGTCCACAGAATTCAGCCGGTATGCCACCAACCTGGGCATCCGGCATATCCTAACGGCCCCTTTCCATCCCGCTAGCAATGGGTTGGCGGAGAGAGCCGTTAGGTCAGCAAAAGAGGCGTTGGCAAGATTCACTCAAGACGACTGGCACTCCAGACTCTCTCGTTTTCTCTTAAGCCAACACTCGACCCTATGTACTGTCACAAACAAGTCCCCAGCCGAATTACTGATGGGCAGACGGCTAAGGACAGTGCTGGATAGACTGCATCCCCACTATTGCCCAGACACACCATTGGGGTGTGGAGTTTTGTATT